GGCACTCTTATCTAAAAGTTCATCTTTATAATATCCTATAAGGTTACATATATCAATATAGATCAAGTGATATGCCTGAATTAATTCATACAAAATAATTTAATTACAAGCTTTGTTTAAACATTTTATAATGTAAATTTTAACAATTTCCCACATCCTTTACTATTTGTGAACAGTAATCTAATCTAGGTCTACCTTTACTCCACTTAAGTCCTGTTTTTGCTTCTAATATGTCTACAACTAGCCCTTCATGCTAGGAAAGGTGTCCTACCAACTTATCTCGCCTATTTCTTATTGATTTCCATTATCGCCCTCTGTTATCCTACTGTTCCTAATATGTCCTTATTTCTAACCTTCTCTATCATTCGTCTGTAACACCATATTTCGAATGTTCCTAAACTTTTCCGATAAACCCACCGTCCACCCGTCTAAAACCGTGCTCCAAACGTATCTTTAATAATTTTTTTTTGAATTTCATTGTATTATAATATCTAAAATTGTAAACTATAAAATTCAATCTGCCATAACTAAAATCATAACCAGTAAGCATAGCACCATTATAAATAAGCGTTTATTTCTTTCAGCAACTATAGGTAGGTATTGTACCTATACCGCTTTTTACAAAACAAAAAGAGAAAATACTGAAATTACCTTTTGCACCTCACAAAATCTGTCTTTTCCGCGTATCAAATTTTTAGTAAATTTTAGAAATTTTTCATTTAATGTAAATTTTTATGATACAAAGAACCAATAATAAAGACCCTTTTTGGTCATGTAAGCTGTTTTTTCGAATCCTTTCCGTTAATAATGCGATTGGGAAATATAACTTCTTATATTCTCTCTCAAAAGGTTAATGTATTTGTTAGAATGTAGATTTCCGTTAATAAAAAGACGGCCTATAAGAGAATTTCCCAAAATTCCAACCCATACTTTCCTAAAATTCTATGTTGCGAAATACACACTTTGTAAATGTAAGAATTCCTAATTGGCAAGGCAGAAACGGAAGTAGTAAATTACTTTGTGGTTAGTTTTTGTGGATCATTTAGTTTGCATTAAGTTTTGTATATACAACTTATCTTAAAATTTATCAATGTTTATAGGGTAGGGATTGTAAAATATTTAGGTCCAATAATTTACACGAGGCTTAACATCATCATATCATCATAAGGTCGTCAGTCCTAAGAGTGATTGGACACACACCTCCACTCTTCTCTATCCTGAGCTAATCTTCGCATTTCCCTAAAACTAGAACAACCCACATCCTTAACTATTTCTGAACAGTAATCTAACCTACCCTCTACTCCTCCTAACTCCTGTTTCTGCCTCTAATGTCTCTGACTAGACCTTCATGTCTGAGAAGGTGTCCTACTAAATTTTTAGTCACTTAATTTCAATGGAAAATCTTTAAAATCCATCACTATAGTGCCTATTATTATTGTTATTTAAATTTGCACATTTTTCATCTCATTAATTGAGAAAAACCAAGTTTATGCCTGTATTCTAGAACATCCCACATCCTTAACTATTTGCAAACAGTAAACTAATCTAGATTTAGCTCTTCTCCTCTCAACTCCTGCTTCTGCCTCTAATATGTCTCTGACTAGACCTTCATAACTGAGACATACACCACATTTCGAACACTTCTAACCCTTTCTTTTCCGCCGCGCCCACCGTCTATGTTTCGCACTCGTACAGCGCTGCGCTCCAAACATACACCTTTAACAATCTTTTTCGAATTTCTGAATTAATCGTTCGCGAGCATAGAAGTGACTTCTTTTTATTGAAAGCGATTCGATTATAACAGCAATAATAAGGATTTTTAGCGGGAAGCACTACCAGAAACATCAGTAGACGTAAAAATAGATGGGCTCTGCCTATAGGGCGCCCCCCATTAGAAGGGCGTGATGATAAAATGAGGTGCGCTAGCATATCGAGAGAAATGAAAAACAAATTAATTAACAAAAATTTATTTAATTTTCTGAAATAAAATATCAATCACAAACATTACAATTACAGCACGACCTCGTCCAAATTTATTTTATGAGAAAAGGGACGATGAAAATTGTAATTGCTAATTGGGTCGTAAATACCAAAAGGTTCAGAAACGCTGGTCTAGATGCTTGTGATGCTTTACATTCAGTTCCTTCTAATACGTCGTCAACACGTGCTCGGTATATTCTGAAATTGGTTTCGTTCGGCGACAATGTATTTGTAAGCATATTTTGAAATCTGTCAGAAATGAACCACAGTTCTTGATAACCTAGTGAGGGATTGTTAATGACCTGTTGATAAAAAGAAATATAAATTACATTAATTTTGATTTGTTAGATCACAGTAATAGTAAAGCTGTTAATATTAATCGAAATTCGACGAATTTGCTTTCAAATTACATACGACCATCACAAACATAAAATTCGCATGCAAATGCCGATGTGTTCGGATTAGCCCTGGCTATTTTTCAAAGGATCTACATTTTATTTAATGTAGTATCTAGTTTTCTTAACTTCCGAATACTTTACGAATTGAGATTTCTAAAATCGACAACGACTTCGACAGCCTCCATGCAGTCGGAATGTAATATTTCGATCGGAGGAGTTACGGAATACCGATTCGGTACAATTTCGATTCTGCCCTACCACTTCTATTCGATTTTAAGCATTTCTATTCCTTTTTGGGTTACAGAATATGCTTGTATTGTATTTGAAGGGAGGTCAACTTCTGTATACATAGGATCAGCTTTTCTTCTAAACAATTTGTCTTGATCTACTATGTAACACAGACGTACAACTTAAAACTGCTAAACTTTTATATGATTGCTCAAAATTGCAAACCTAAAGCTATACTGTTGTTTGCAAATCGTGTTTCTAAAAGACCCACGCATCCAACTAAAGATTAATTGGGGAATAACTACAAAATAATACAGAGTTATACTTCTCTTTACTATCCTCTCATTAGCGAGAATCCTGTGACTGTTCGTAACAAAGGAATCGTAATTTTATGCATGTCTATGTGAAGATAATGATAATGAATTTTCAATATATAAATCAGTAGGTAGTCTCATCCTCGTTAATTTTAAATATGAAACAGCTCATTCTCGTACGTATGGAGATCCATAACAAGAATAAAATTCTTTACATTTGGTGATATTGGAATATTTCCAAAAATTTTCTTTGCTTTTGACATTTACAATTATATGAGTTTGTAAAATTACAATTTCATCTTCAACTGCCCTTCTTTCCATATAAAACATGTCTGACACTTTTTCGTAAATATAGTTTGAAAGGTAAAGAAGGTCATACATCTTTAATTTTTTTCAAAATCATGAAATCTAGTCGGTTAATCTTCAGTAGCCTTTTTTTGCGAAGTATTTTTCCACAAGTTATGACAATTTTGATCGACCATGTTTGGAAAATGATTCAAATTAATTTGTTGAAGACCTTTCCATTAACATAATAAATTCTGTTTTGTATGCGTTAATGCAGATAGTCATTTCTGCTAATGTTATGTTTTCCCTCATCATCATCATCATAAGGTCATCAGTCCTAAGACTGGTTGGACACGCATCTGCACTCTGCTATCCTAAACTAATCTTCGCATTTCTCCAAAACTATAATAACCCACATCCTTAACTATTTCCGAACAGTAATCTAACCTAGGTCTACCTCTACCCCTCTTAACTTCTGTTTCTACCACTAATATGTCTCTGGCTAAACCTTCATGTCTGAGAAGGTGTCCTACCAACTTATGTCGCCTATTTTTTATAAACTTCCATAGAATCCTCTGTTCTCCTAATTATAAATTTTTAGTCACTTAATTTCAATGGAAAAGCTTTAAATAATGCTAAATCTATCACCATAGTGCCTATTATTATTATTTAAATTTGCACATTTTTCATCATTCATTGGGAAAAACCAAGTTTATGCCTGTATTCGGTTATGGTCAACAAGCTATTTCTTCGCGATAGACGTGTTCGTCATACTACAGCTATATTGAACTTGAAATGGTTGGATTATCGCCAGCAAGGAGTGAAAATACCTAAACCGAAGCTTCGCCAAACGATAAAGTATTATGGCAGTTTCACAACAAATTTATGATTGAATCATATCAAAATTCATGTAGGCAAGGAATCGATGGTATGGTATGGTATGGTACAACAATATCTACGGACCCGTTGTTAGTTAAATAATAAAATGAGGACTACTACTTGCTTTGCTCCTATTATTAGCTACAATAATAATAATTTANAGAAAACCTCAAGAAACGGTCTACTCACTGGAATAAATATCGAAGAAAAAGACGTCGACTTAAAGTGCGAGAACTTCAAAGGAAAACTATTGCGACCCCCTTTTTCAAAACATCATGGGAAAGCACCTGAAGTCCTAGAAGTCATTCACACTGACGTATGCGGTAATATGCAGACGGAATACATGGGAAAGGCATGATTCTTCGTTACATTCACTGACGAAGCTACGCGTTTGAGTCAAGTTTGTTTTATTAAGTCTAAAGACGAAGTCATTAATAAATTTATCGAATTTAAGGCAAAATTCAAAGCGACAATGGTACCGAATATGTGGACAGAAAATTCAATAAACTGTTAAAGTCATCAGAAATAACAAGAAGACTATCAGTACACTACCACCCACAACAAAATGGAACTTCCGAGTGCAGAAACCGAACTTTGCTAGATATGTCGTGATGTCTACTCATACAAGCTAATTTACAACCGAGCTCCTGTGCCGAAGCGGTCAACACCGCGCACTATTTGCGCAATCGCAGTCCGACTATCAGCCTAAATGATAAAACACCCTACGAAGCATGGTATAGTAACCCGCCGAATGTGTTTCACTTGGGGATATTTGGTTGCAAGGTGCATTATCTCGACTCGACTGTCGAAAAGAACAAGTTCAGATCCCCTACAAAGGAAGGTATATTGGTAGGATATTCAGAGACTTCGAAAAGCTACAGGATTTGGAGCCTGATCGAGGAAAGAGTTCAGATTTCCCATGACGCTAAATTCATGGATATGAATACACATGATTCCAAATTCGAAATAAAGAACCATGAACCCAACGTAGTTGAACATTGTATATCGAAAAACTTACATGGAATATTTCTGGGGATGATTGGGGATTACTCTCAAACCTGGTACGATTTCTGAGATCTGACGTGTAAACAAAGTTCTCAGTGATACTGGACATGGCGTGATAGAAAAGTATTCTGTCACTTCCGGGTTTGTAAGGTGAAAGATCCATGCCCAATATTCCATCCAATAAGTCGAAGCTAATTCCTGAAAAAATGTTTATAAATTACTGTTCCCATTTTATATAAGAGTGTATTTTTTATTCATAGTAAACAAGGTAAGAAGGTTAATAAAGTCTAAAAGAATAGTCACGTAAATTCAAAGATAAAAACTAGTTATCTTTTATCGTTTGGGTTTGATGGGATACAGGCAGAAATTTTAAAACATATAGGACAAGAGGTTAGAGATCGCATGTTTAAGCTGGTTAGTCACATTTACGAGATGACGAAAATTACAAAGGATTATTATAAACGGAAGGTGGCAATAACCATATCTAAAAAGAGAGGTGCAGATACCATGCAAGACATTTAGAACAATTACTTTAACTTCCCATGCATCAAAAATCTTAACTAGAATTGTATAAAGGAGGATGGAAAAACGAGCGGAAGAACTATTAGGGGAAGATCAATTTGGGTTTAGAAGAAATAGAGGAACGCGGGAGGTCATTCCAGCTTTACGGATAGTAAACGAGAAAACGACAGAGAAAGGAATTGTATTGAATAGGATTTGTAGATTTAGAAAAAGCTTTTGACACTGTTAATTGGGACAAGATGTTAAATATACTTAAAATGTAGGAATGAGTTACAAAGATAGAAGAGTGATACTTAGATTGTATAAAAAGCAACAAGCAGTTATAGAGATGTGGTTGCAACGTGGAGAAGTATATATTAGGAAGGGAGTCAGACAATGATGCACACTGTCATCACTACTTTTTAATCTATACATCGAAGACGCGATCAATATCATCAAAGACAGTACAATTGTAGGGATAGATAAAGAGGGGCAAAAGATTAGTATGCTTAAATTTGCAGATGATATAGCAGTATAAGGATCTAGCAAGGAGGAGTTAGAGATAGCTTTAAATAAAATGGAAGCGGTACCTACAAAACAGTATTGTACGTAAATAAATAAAAATGAAACAAAAATACTGATATGCAAGGGAAGAAACAGTAGAGAAAGTGCGAATATAAAGATGGGAGATGAAAAATTAGGAGAGTCGAGTGGCCTTCAATAAAAAAAGTTTCAAAGTGAGTGGCTACTTTAATAATGTGAGACCAGAGTACATGCATACTCAATTCACGCTTACCTAGATGTTTCTTTTGTAAATGTGTTTTATCAACCTCTCTATTAAATGTAATTTTCAAAATTGTTTTAAGTTTGTTCTTGACTACTGAAAATGTGGTGTGTAAACTTCTTACCATGAATATCATAAGTTCCAAAGTTAGGATCAGCGTACATTGTTTCGTCAGTTGCTCTCCATGAGACTCCCAACGTTGGGTTGTAGACAATGATGGAAAATGCTAGAGCATCTGCGACATACACCATGGTGTCGTTGCATTCTTCATCTCGCACATCTACAATCGGAGTTACGAAAAGTGATCTGTACTCGTATTGACTAGAAGGTATTTCGTATCTATATAGCAATGTATCCTAAAAATAAATACAGTATTAAAATGTACAACCACCGCTCCTTTTTCAATAATATAAAAACCCATGCACGTATATTTATAATATAAACACAATCACGTGTTGAAACGTTATTAAAAAAAATGGAACAGGGTCATATTGTTTTTTCTTTTTCGTTAAAAAGTACATTATTATTTCTTCAAACGTTCACATTCTCTATAATATGAAGGTACAGGGTTTGTCCGGAAAGTAATAGGACTGATTTCCTTCCGCAGCGACTGTAATTCGGAGCGTGCGCGAATCGACTGGATTCGATAGAGAGCATTCCTAGCCAACGAACGAGCGGCTGGTGAGTTGTCTCCGAGCACCTGGAGAGTCAGAACAGGCTTTTTCGCGCGACGTGTTTCTGTGAGTGGTGCAAGCCGAAAATGCAGCGTTCGTTAGAGCAGAGGTACGCGATTAAATTCTGTGTGAAACTCGGTAAATCTGCGACAGAGACGTTTGATATGATCAAGCAGGCTTACCCAGATGTTGCTTTAGCAAGAACTGGTGTGTTTCGGTGGCACCAGGCCTTTTCAGAGGGCCGGGAAGAGGTCGCCGATGAAGACCGTGCTGGAAGACCTTGGACTTCGACAAACACCGACAATGTGACTCGTGTGCGCGAAGTTTTGAACTCAGACCGTCGACTAAGTATTTGTTTAATTGCCCAGATATCAAATTTAGCAAAATCTGTGGTTCATGACATTGTGACAGAGCATTTGAACATGCGAAAAGTGTGCGCGAAGATGGTCCCAAAAGTGCTCACTGTCGACCAGAAATTGCGGCGCGTGGAAGTGTGCCAAGAAAATTTAAGCATGTGTGAAAGTGACCCCCAATTTTTGAATAACGTAATCACAGGTGACGAGTCATGGATCTTTGAGTATGATCCTGAGACAAAGAGGCAATCTTCCGAGTGGCACACGCCGGCGTCTCCTCGCATTAAAAAAGGGAAGAATGAGCAAATCCAAAGTGAAAACGATGCTCATTGTCTTTTTTGACATGAAAGGCATCGCAGCCGACTGGAAGTTGCACTACGACAACGCCCCGGCTCACACCGCCTTTCTCGTGGACAGCTACCTGACCAAGGCCGGCATCCCAACTCTTCCGCAGCCGCCCTACAGCCCAGATGTGGCCCCACCGGACTTTTTTTTGTTTGCTCGCCTGAAAAGGCCGATGAAAGGCAAGCATTTTGAGACGACAGAGGGGATTCAAGCAGCATGCACGCGGCTCTTAAGGCTATTCCGGAGAATGCCTTCCGTGACGCCTTCAATGCTTGGAAATCGCGCTGGCAGCGCTGCATCGACGCAGAAGGAGCCTATTTTAAAAGTTTTTAAAGAAGCGTAACGATTGGCTCAATAATTTTTTTTTATTCGACTCTGCCCTATTACTTTCCGGATAAACCCTGTATATACTTTAAAATATTTAAACCCAAATTATTATATTACACAAAAGACGTCAAAAACAGATTTTCTGAAAATAACTTCTTAGATATATATTGCCAATAATATTTAGGAAGAAATTTCCTATAAGAAATGTCTTATACATGTTTTCTTTGGAATGAAGCCTTGACAGGATATGATCGCGACAAATTTTGCACTTTAGGCACAGGTGAGCGATGCGTTTCTATAAATTTCTTTCTTAATTATTTTTTTTTCTGCACTCTTTTCTAGGTAGAGTATGTAACTCGCTTTTGGCTTTATTTCCCCTCTTGAGACCTAAGCGTTTATAGCTTATCTTTCTACATTTAGAGGTTGAAGGCAAACTAAATATAAAAGGGAATCGCATGGTGAGTAGTTAAAGGATGAAGGGATACCGTACGAAGGCCCTATCATCTTCTGAAAGCTTGTCACTTATTTCAGAGCACCCTGAATAAACGTGTCATAGATTAAGCTTGATAAGTAGATGAATTCGTACAGTTAGCAGTAAATACCAACAGATGGCGACGTATTGCCCATAACTTGAAATACGATATTTCGTTGTAAAGTGAACGCACAAATTATACTTACTGTTTTCAAATCAAATGCCAATATTTGTGGAGGGCAAATCTGGCCGTTGTTTCTACCTCCTGAATCAAGTACCCATAGCCTGCCGCATTCGTCAATCTAAAACAATAAAAAAATAGTAATTTTTTATTACATCTACCTCATGTATCGTACTGCTTCGTATCTCCGATGTGAAATACTTAATTCAGAAATCAATACTGCCGCCGATCATTAACAAGTGCGAATTTGTTAACCAGACAGGAAAACTGACAATTTATTTAAATACAATAGAAAATAAGCAGCCTATTGAGGTTTTTCTTTATATATTAGTCCTACGTCTCATTTAGCTTAAAGCCAGAGGTGCATGTGACCTTTTATTATTTTGGTTAAGCAAAAAGGGTAAATAAAATGGAAGCGGTAGTGACAGATCAGTACTGTATGAAAATAAATGAAAGTAAAACTAAAATACTGGTATGCAAGGGAAGAACAAGTGGGGAAAGAGCGAATTTAAAGATAGGAGACGAAAAATTAGAAGAAGTGGCTGATTTTAGATATCCAGGAAATCAGATAAGTCAGGACGGAAGAAGTAGTAGGGATATAAAGCAGTTAAGGATGTAGGTTGTTCCAGTTTTAGGGAAATGCGAAGTTTAACTCAGGATGGGAATGAGTGGAAGTACGTGTCCAACCAGTCTTAGGGCTGACGATGATGATGATGGAAAAGAGCGAATTATTGTATTTTACGTACATATATTATCCTTCTTGGTTAGGTTATGATTCAAAAATTAAATTTCAAACAAAGACATAATTCTTAACAAGATCTAATACGTTCGTCGCCAGCCAATGAGTCAACAGAAGGGAGGGGCAAGATAATAAACAGAGAATATGTATTGTAGGTAAAATTTGTACAAACAAAAATATATTTTATTATAAGTTGGTACATGTTTTACTTCGTTCAAGTGTTTAAGTAATCTTACCTTAATTCTAACGACCCATATGAGTCTGTCACGTTGGCAACTACTAGCATTTCTGTGCCATCCCCAAGAAGGATAAGGTTTAATAATAGGATTTCCATCCGCGCTGTTGTTTGCAGTAACCGTACCGAGAGTTATGGGAATTCCATCCCGGGTACGAGGTACGGTCACAAATACCTTGTTTAGTTCCTCTCGAGCTGTAATTCAATATGTGAAAATTAATATTTTCGGAAAATTACAATTTATTACACTATCTTGTAGGTATAATACATGCAGACTAGGTTTATTTAACAATATCATGACAATTACAAATTCATCTTACAGAAAAAGAGACGAAGACATTGGGAAAATATTGACAATGAAGGAAGTACACAAATTATTTGTAAACGTAAGACAAATTATTATGATTATGTTATTTTCGTCTTTATTTTTGAATGGCAAATTGTGCAAAAAAAATTATTTAAATGAATTAAAGAAAATTCTATTAACCAAACATTAAAATGTACAGGGTGATGTGCATACTTCGATGTTTGTATAAAACAACTCGGTAACTATCTCTTTTCCTGAAACAAATTTATTGGTATTTCACAAACCTGCTATCGTCTTTTGTTTTTGAGTTCAAACGAAAGTTGATCATTTAGAGTTTTGGTTACAACTTGGTTGGTTATAATATTAAAAAGAAACAACTTTTACGTTCTTCAGGCACTTTTTCACATTTTTTTACAAAAGATATTCTGTTCTATTTTTCTTCGTAGTATTTTTGATAAAAACATTTTCAAGTTTCATTTTTGAAACGAATAAGCAATAAAATAACTGTACTGTTTGCTTCCAGGTATTCATTAAATAATAATTTATTAATAATTAATTAATTGGTCAAACTCCGATCGCACGCAAAAGCAGTTATAAGCCTTTCATTATAATTTATACGTACGATGTTAAAAGCTGAAGGAGATCGCTAGTCATCAATTAATTATAATATCCTTGATAATCCTATTAAAACAGATCATTTCCCTTTATTAAATTCGTATTTCGAAGCCTATGTCTCCATCACTCACTACGAGAGTTTTTGAACAATACCAGTAAAAAGTTTGTAAGTACAAGCTATATGTCAGTGATTCGCCTGAATAACATATAACATCATGGCACCTCAATTGCTTCCTTTCTGAGCTTCGAACTTCCTGAAAACTACAATGTCGTGCGTCCTTAATATTTTAGAACAGTAATCTTATCTATATCTTCCTCTGCCTGCTTTTATTCCTGTTTCTGCTTTAAATATATGTCTATCTAACTAATCATTCATGTCTTCGGTCTATTCAATCATCATCATTGTATAGCAAATCAATCGTAATAGGAAGTGTTAACCAGTGTTCACAACCTGAAGCGAGGAAGCTATCGTACATGTAGCGTAGAATTATCGTACATGGAGCAAAATTATCGTACTTTTCAAAATAATCACTATAATTAGTAAATTACTCGTATTAATCTTGTAAAAAGACAGATCTGAACTACCCCCACCCTTTAAATTAAAAATCAATAATAGAAAAATACTTAAATATAACAAGATATAGGGGGTGGAGGTACGTTAGTGGGGTGTTTTTGACCTTAGGCTATGGTTAGTGGCTACATGACTACAATCACAAAATTGTGGATGGGAAGACCATCGACCCATCTGGTGACCAACACGAAGGGATGTTACCTGCCGAGGAAAAACCTACATACTAGCATGATAACGTTCTTTTGCAGGCACGTTCTTCTAAATTTAACACTGCGTATAACAAAAATGTTTATAGCGCTGTGAGAAAAAAGAAAAAAAAAATATTCGCGAATAAAAAAATGTCTTCGTGATATTGTCTGAGAGGGTAAGAATAAAATAAATTTTGAATGCATGAAAATTATCGTACAATCTGCGTACGATAATAATATGATATCGTACATCGTACGTAGACATGAAATTATCGTATGTGTACGATAATTATCGTACGGTTCCGAACACTGGTGTTAACCATAGCCTGTCTACAGTCTATCTTAAACTGGCGGCTGAAGCAATAAAAGCCCATGCCTTCGCCTAGCTGGAATTGCTTACCATGGCACTGTTCAATAAAACACGTATTCTGTCAACCGCTTGTACCTGTATACCTACAAAGCTTAAAGCAGTTTAAAAGCTTTTACAATGTTGTTTTCAAAGCTGCAAAGATAGGCACAATAAAGATCACTGCTTTTTAATATTCTTACTAATTAAAGTGGAAAAAGCGAATAAATCTCTTCAAAATTTTATTGCTTCAGTCGCCTCTTTAAGAAGGATCGGTGTACAGAAATTGCGCCATTAGAAGGTAAAAGTAGTAAAAATAGTCATAAAAGTGCGTGAATAAAGACTTAAAGATTTTTATTAGCTCATAATTAATGGGTAGAGTTAAAAATCTCCGTTTTAGAAAATTAGTGTGCTTATTAACTTGCCTCCATAATAGACATCTACGTCAATAAGCGCGGCACGTCCCGGTACGAAAATTCCATTGTCGATATCCCGTTGCCTTGCATCTTCGGAAGGATAGTCGAATTCTAACTGGGTCCAATTAAAAATTTCGCTTATTCCTTCTTCAGACCGACTTGGAACACTTTCTGAAAGTTTCCACGTAGATGCAGATATGCTCATCACAATACACAACCAGTTGAATCCTGCAATCAAAAAGGTCTATATAACATATAGTTGGGACGCTCAAAATTGGCACAATTCGCAATAAAAATGTCACATTTACTATCTTCTTTCAACTTACTAATTAGACTAGACTAGTTGCTGACAGAACGGCTATTTTTACACACGAGGGAAGTTGTAGGGAGCATCGTAAACATAGAAAAGGGATGTCAGGTAGGAATGGTAGAGGACAATAATAAAGAAAAAGGAATAATATTGCACCAGTTAATGTGTAACAGAAAGAGATGCAAACAAGCAGAATTTGAGTATGTTGCCAGCTTCGGACTTTAAAGAAAGTTCATCATTCGCATGAATTTAAGAAAAATTAGGTTGTTTAAAGATAAACATTTGAGATAACGACTACCGGTTGTGGTTTCTCTCATAGTTTATGTGATAATCATTTAATACCGCTTATAACTCAAAAACTATGAAAAATGAGAGACCATACATCATTCTTATAATTTTCATAATTTCAATTTTTTTTCAACCCAATCGAATGCGATTTTTACAAAACCCATTCTTAGTGCGGCCCAATGTAATAGTCAGAATATGCTGTCAAATAAATCCATTAGTTTTGACTGTACGTACGTTAAGCAATATCAATTATTATTCGGTTAACTGACAATTACTAGTCATTCAGTTGATTGACGGTGTTTATCTTGAATGACTTCAAAAAAAATTATATGAAATAATATAATGTAATAAAAATA